AAAAACAACCCCCCCCCCCCCCCCCCCGAAATGTCCATGTATAGATCCCCCCAGACCTATGGAATCATTTGGGGTTGGGATCCAGCCATCTGTTTTATTTTTTTTTTAATATATTTTATTGATTTTTTACAGAGAAGGAGGGAGAGGGATAGAGAGTTAGAAACATCGATCAGCTGCCTCCTGCACACCCCCTACTAGGTATGTGCCTGCAACCAAGGTACATGCCCTTGACTGGAATCGAACCTGGGACCCTTGAGTCCGCAGGCCGACACTCTATCCACTGAGCCAAACCGGTTAGGGCAGTTATCTGTGTTTTAAAGGGCCCTCCAAGTGATGGTGATGCGCGGCCAGTTTGAGGACTGATTGATTACCTTCGGGACCCTGGGGCCTGGTTCTCCCCCCGGGCGCACATGGGAATCACCTGGCAGCCTCGGGGCTCTGGGTGCCCCAGCCATACCCGGACCAGCTCCTGGGAACCTCTGAGAGAGCAGGCTGGGCCTGAGTGTGTGAGAGCCCCCAGGTCATTCCACGGGCAGCCAGGATGGGGAACCGCTGCCTTGGGAGTCCCGGTCAGGGCTGAGATGTGAAGAACTGGCCGCCTCTGACATGTAACAGGAATAACACGCCGTGACATCAGCTGAGGCTGATTTGTGCTCTGACACTTCAGTCCTCTCAGCAGTCCCACGTGGGGAGCTCTGTGATGATCACTCATTCAGGTGAGTAAGTGGAGGCTCAGAGAAGTTAATAACCCGCCCAAGGCCGCACAGCTTCTGAGGGGTGATGCAGCTGGAGGTGAGATGGGCAGCCTTGCTCCAAATCCCTCCTCACTCTGCCCCCCCTCCCCCGCATGGTTTCCTCGTTTCCTGTCACCCCACCTTGGGGCCTGGGAAGGGGGACCCAGAAAGCCCGGTGTGGGGGGGCATCTCTATGTCTGATTTCCATTGTTTTCTCTTTGGTTACAGTTCGGGGAGGCTGGCCAGTCCACATAAAGGCTGGTTTGGTGACAAAACTCCAGTTTTCTGGGGAGCGGGGGTCCCTCCCAGAAACTCCCTTGGATTGAAAGTAGTATTGAAAGCCCTGGTACCGTCTCAGGTTGCTCAAGGGTCCTCCCACCGCCACGGCCTTGCTGGAAGCTCATGCTGGGGACGCCGGGGACAGGAGGGACAAACAGAATTAGCAGGCGGAGGGGGGACAGGTAGGTTTGCCTACAGCCTGAGTCCCCTCCCTGCTCCCAGCTCCGTTCACCTTCCAGCATCCCAATCAGCCCAGGGCCCGTGGTAAGGAGGCCCACATTCCCCAAGATGGGCAGTAGCCACGGACAGACAGCCCCAGTGCCACCACCAACCTGGCACCGAGTGCTCACCAGCTATCCCCCTGCCGCCTCCAAAGCCCAGCCCTCCAACTGGCATTCAAAGCCCATGGGGGCTCCTTCTTGCCAGGCTGTGAGCTGTGAACCACACCAGGGCAGGGGGGCTCTTAGCTTCACAGCCAGCGGCACCCACACGACCACTTCCGGGGCAGCTGGGAGAGGCCGCATGGGCTGGGAAAGGCCGCTTCGTTCTTCAGTTCCAAGGGGAAAAACGGAGCCACTCGGGCCAGGCTGCAGCTACAGGCAGGAGGCCAGAGCTGCCCTTCAGAGCCCCTCCTTGCAATTTCCTGTTCTCCTGCTTCAGTGAAGTGGGGGGAGTGGGGGTCGGGGTGGGAGGACACAAACACAGAGAGGTGTCCCCCGGCTCCCACGGACCTAAGCAACCCCATCTCCCCCAACTGTAACTACCGGGCACCCCACACGACCACACACCCCACCTTGCACCGGCCTGTTCCAATTGCAACCTTCCCAGGTGTTCACGGGGCTTGAACAAAACAGATTCCTGTGCCCTGGCTGGTGCACTCAGTGGTTAGAGCCCTGGCCCGCCCACCAAAGGGTCATGGGTTTGATTCTTGGTCAAGGGCATGTACCTGGGTTGTGGGTTCGATCCCCACCCCCGGTCAGGGCACACACGGGAGGCAAACAGCTGATGTGTGTCTCTCACACTGATGTTTCTCTCTCTCCCTGACCCTCCCTCTGAAGAGCAATGGGAAAAATAGCCCCATCTGAGGGTTAACAACAAGCAGATTCCTGGGCCCTGGCCCGGTGGCTCAGTTTTGGTTGGAGTGTCGCCCCATCCAAAAGGTTGCATGTTCAATCCCTGGTCGGGGTGCATACAGGAGCAACTGATTGATGTTTCTCTCTCACATCTAGGTCTCCCCCGCCCCCCCCCACTTCCTCTCTCTCTAAAATCTATAAAAACATGTCCTAGGGCAGTGATGGCGAACCTTTTGAGCTCGGCGTGTCAGCATTTTGAAAAACCCTAACTTAACTCTGGTGCCGTGTCGCATATAGAAATTTTTTGATATTTGCAACCATAGTAAAACAAAGACTTATATTTGTTATATTATTCTATCTATTTAAATGCCATTTAATAAAGAAAAATCAACCAAAAAAATGAGTTTGTGTGTCACCTCTGACATGCATGTCATAGGTTCGCCATCACTGTCCTAGGGTGAGGATTTACCGTAAAAAAACACACATACAGCCCTAACTGTTTTGGCTCAGTGGGTAGAGCGTCAGCCTGCGCCTGCGGACTGAAGGGTCCCAGGTTCGATTCCGGTCAAGGGCATGTACCTTGGTTGCGGGCATATCCCCAGTAGAGGGTGTGCAGGAGGCAGCTGATCAATGTTTCTCTCTCATTGATGTTTCTAACTCTCTATCCCTCTCCCTTCCTCTCTGTAAAAAAAATCAATAAAAAATATTTTAAAAAAGAAAAAACACACATACAGTTCCTTGGCCTCACAGGCAGCCCTAGCAAACACAGCATTTGGACACACTTCCCGGTGAGTCTCCCGTCCCTCGTAAAGCGCATGAAGCGTGTAAAGTGCATGAAGCGTATATACACTGCAGGCCCTGGACCCGTGGAGCCGGCAGAACCCAGAGGTGCGGGATGGCAAGCAAAGTGACATAAACGCAGGTCGCCATCCCGGAGGGTGGACAAGGGCGTGACAAAATCACCCCCGGGGGGGGGGGCAGTCTTTAGCTGCCAAGTCCAAAGCCAGGCAACAAGTTTGTAAACATTTTTATTTACATGTTGTAGGTTCCAGGAGGCCGGCACCGTGAGGTGTGCAGGGGGAGGAAGCACGGAAAGGGGGAGGAGGGAATTTCTCTCCGCCTCGCTCCCGGCTTCAAGCTGAGCACCCAGGGTTGCATCTGAGGAAGTTAATGCAACCCCATTGCACCGGTTTCTTTCCTTACATTCCTTGGGTTACTAGAGAGTCTGTATTTTTTTTAAAAAAAAAAAATCAATGCACGAAAGATAACATTTTAACAAGAAAAGGGGTGTTAGGTGGAGATGTGAGGGGTGCTGCTGGCCCTCGCTCCACCTCCAGCTCCACCTCCTTGTTCACCTGTGGAGGCAGAAACAGCATCTCTGTCCAAGTGCGGGGGAGGGGGCGCCCTGAGTGGCCGATAAGGTGGCAGGTGGCAGGGGCTCTCTGGCTTCCGTGCCCACCTCACAGCAGGTCCTCTTGCTCTTCCGGCTCCGCTTCTGCTCTGGCCTCGGCCCTCAGCACCCTGAGGCCCCCCGCCTCGCCTGCCCTGGGGACTCTCTTGGGCAGGGTTGGCAACCGGGGAGTGTGCCAGAAGGCTCTTTGGCGCTTGCGAAACCACGAAAAGCGCCCAGGGGTCTGGAACCTCACTGTCTTGACTTGTTTCCGGGCCCTAGCTCCTGGGGTCGCTCCTGTGGCTCCCGGGGCAGCTAAGGTGGCAGTTTCGGCTGAAGCCTCTGCCCTCTGGCCAGCTCTGGCCTCGGCCCCATCAGATGCAGCCTCTGCTCCCTGGACAACTGGGGCCCCGGCCCTCTGATCACCCACAGACTCTGCCCCCTGATCAGCTGCAGCCTCTGCTCTCTGATCAGCTGCAGCCTCCGCCCTCTGATCAGCTGCAGCCTCCACTCTCAGATTACCCACAGCCTCCACCCTCTGATCAGCTGCAGCCTCCACTCTCTGATTACCCACAGCCTCCACCCTCTGGTCAGCTGCAGCCTCCGCCCCCTGAGCCGTGGATGCTGCTTCCTCCCTCCTGAGCAGCCTAAACGAGGCCCACTTAATCTTGGGCCTCCATCGCCGTGGGGGGGCCTCGGGCACCAGCCCACCTCCTGCGCTCCCCACGTGGTCCCCCTGATGGGCGCTACATGGCACCTCATCCCTCCCCACCCTGACAGAGGCCTGCTGGGCCTCACCCACTCCGGGGCCGGACCTGGGCGCCCAGCCCTTCACCCTGCGCTTCAGCCTCCCCCAGGACACCTGGCTGACGTACTCCCGCCACCTGTCCCCCTTGGACGGCTGCAGCCCCGGGCCATCCTCA